GCTGGCAGCCTAGGATGTGTGTTGGGTTGGCCTATGGATTCTCTTAGCTATGGCAGGCGTTCCCTCTGTGCACAAGCATGCCTATTTGCTTTCCTCTTCCCCTTGTGGGGGTGGAGTTAGGGCGTTAGTGTGGCAGCCGCAGTTTTTTGGTTTTTTTTCTGTTTTTGGAAGCACTTTTGACTAGCAACTGATTTAATGTTACTTTAGACTGAGAGGCCTGGCAAACTAGTTGGAATAACTTAAGTCATAAGGTATGATGCTACAAGTTTTTCATGGGAGGCAGGGTCCCAGTAAGCCCAGGGAGGGGAAGGCAGACAGAGACCAAGGACAAGTGGTGAGACCATGGAGGAAGCAGAAAAGGTATCCTGACATCTTAGGTAAGGGAGGGGAAGGCAGATCCTGGAGGCATGACACATGCCTGAGGGATTAGCAATCACCTGTGCCTCTAGGTCGCTCCCATTGACTGGTACTGGAACACTTTCAGCAACATGAAACCTCCACTCTCCAGTCACTGAATAAACCCTGGGCTTGGTCTCAGCCCACAGGGAGGGAGCATGAGCTCTCCCAGAGCTGGAATCACCTTGAGGCCAGAGTTGACAAGGAGTGGCTTGACACCATGATGGGAAAGTCCCTCAGGAAGATAGGAAGAGACACACAGTGTGAGCAGTGCAAGAAGTCTGCTTACATGGGGAAGGAGGAGGTTCAGGAGAGGATTTGGTTCATTTAGAAGCTTGTTTAGAGGCTAATAGAACTTGCACAGGGGAACAGGAAGTACAGAGGGAGGGTTTGGTGCAGAGATAGGAAAAGTATTGGGCATAGGGTATTTCCTTCCATTTACCAGCATGCTCACAGAAATTGTATAAATCCCTTAAAATATTGGGATTGAAAATGCCATCAAGTGGACGTTTGGGGCATTGTCTAATGGGTATTGGGGCCATGCCTGCTTATAGAGAAAAATTACTTTTCATGGCTTAATATCAGATGTTAGGTGGAGGGGCCCAAGGTTGGCCAAGAGACATCCCAATGGGGAGTCTGAAGGAATTTGGGATGGTCCAGTCTCCCTGGTGATATGTGACCTAAGGAGAGATATGCGGGCATTCCCGAAATATCAGTTCCTCAGGAAAGAGTAAATGTGGAACACCCGGGAGGAATGTCTTCATCACGGGGGCCCACAGTCCTAGAGAATCTGGTTCCTAGGGATGGGAGCAAGCCAAGACCTAGCACTAGGATTTTGAGGAAATGAGAAAGAGATCACAGCTCTGCATGTGAGAAGGACTCACCGAGAGAGGACCTTGAGGGAGGATTGGCTGGTGGTGGATGGCAATTGGAGACATGCTGGGGCAGAGGAAATTCCCTGTGAGCAAGTGAGGGAGCAGTGCTTTCTAGGATTGGGGGTCCTAGTAAAGCAGCTCAGATCCTGGAGGAAGGAGATGGGAGTTTAAAGAGGGAGAGAGAGAGAGAGAGAGAGCAGGATGGGGTGAGGGAGGCCGGGAGAGCAAGGTCAGTGCTGGGAGCACACCCCAATCCAAATCATGGCACCAAAATGTTAGGAAAAATGCCACTCACAAAGAAAGCTCACAAGAAAAGTCTCACATTCAAGAGCAAAGTTTAATGGCAGCCTCAAACTGCCAGGCTGGCCAGGGAAAGATGGCACAGCACAGACTTTGGGCCAGGTGTGGCTTTTATAGAAGGGGGAGGTTAAGGAATTTAGCGCATGTGCGGTAGTCTCTGGCAGGGGTGGGGCTGTCTTAGAGCATGGGAATTTCTGTTAGGGGATGGGGCTCTGCCATTTTGCCACTGATTCACAAAACGGCAACATTATTACTCTATCATTCATGCCTTTTGAGCTGGGGGATTCCATCTTGATCCCCACCTTGATACATGATCATGTCACATCTAGTGATTTTGCTAAGTTTCTGAACATGGAGACAATAGTTTTAGGGTGGGTCTGTTATTAACCCCCAAAACATGGAGACAAGGGGCCAAGGGTGGACTCGTTGTTGCCCAAAACACAAGGACAATAGGTGTAACATTTGGCATTCCTTTCTTTTTTTTAAAAAAAAAAGTTTTAAAAGCATTTTTTGGCAGTATAGTTTGAACTCAGAGCCTCATGCTTGCTAGGCAGGAACTCTACCACTGGAGCCACACGTCCAGATTAGAGCATTCCTTTTTTGTCAAAGAATCCATTCACAAATGTCTTTTAGTCTAGCTTTTTCCTACCCATTCAAAGTGCTTGAAAATTGACATTTAAAAGAAGGGAGGGTAATGGAAGGAATGCTTGCTGTCTTCAGTGACTTTCAGCCTTATTTCCTGGTTCTATTTTAATTCCTAAACCTGGCTTAGTTTGTTGTATACCTAATGTTTTAAAGTTTATTTTCCAGTCACCTTATCTATCTATACTGCCTCATTGTGTTACACCAAGTACAAAAATCAACTGAAAATAGATTAAAGGCTTAAAAATAAGACTTGAGACTATAAAACTAGTAGAAGAAAAAATGAGGAAGCCCTCTAAAATTGACCTGGACAATACTTATTTGGATATGATCCTAAAAGGACAGATAATATAAGCAAAAATTAACAAATGGGATTATATCAAACTAAAAAGCTGAAGAGCCAAAAAACATTCAACATGAATAAGCAACCCACAGAATGGGAGAAGATATTTGGAAACCATACATTTGGTAAGTGGTTAGTATCCAAAATATATTAGGAACTATATGTAGTAGGAAGAAAACAACCTGAAATAAAATGGGCAAAGAACCCAAACAGGCATTTGTCAAGAGACATACAAATGGTGAACTGGTAGTGTAAAATGTTCAGCATCACTAATTATCAGGAATGCAAATTAAGATCACAATGAGATATCACTTCACTCCTATTAGGCAATAACTATTATAAAAAAGATTTAAAAATACAAATATTGGCAAGAATATGGAGAAATAGCAACCTGTGTATACCGCTGGTAGTATTATAAATTACTACAATTGTGGATATCAGTATAAAGTGTTAGCATGATCTCGCCATCCTAGATGTCTCTGCCCTGTGACAAGCCCAGGATAAAATGGAAGCTTACCCAGCTGCAGGGCCCCTTGCAGTACAAACCTCTGTTTGGCAAAATGTGACTTAGCCAGAAAAACTGATATCCTAATCATGGCTAACTGCAGGAATTTCCCTTGCTCGAAGTGTTAACTGGTGCAGTCTGTGATGAGAAGACTTCCAAATTCATTGTTCTGTGTGGAAGAATCCATGGCAGGACGCATAGGTGTCAATGGAATTTGTTAAAAATTAGGTAAGGGAAATACAAAGGGGAGCATGGTAGGGCCCAGTGGAAGCCAGAACCTGAGTGTGTTTCTGCTCTTCAGGTGCTTTTAAAACCTAACATAACCTATGGGAAGGGGAGAACCAGGTATTTCCCATCTAATTATCAATGAATTGGGAGGGCAATGGGTTCCAGAGCCAGGTGAAGGCATGTCATTACCTGGCTCCAATGATCTTTGAGCCAGGGGGAGGAGCTGAGCAGACTTCAAGGTACACCTTTGTTAATTCTCAGGTGCCCCACCCATGAGGTTGGAGGTTCCCATTCTTTCTAACTTAGTGTAATTACAATGGAGCTCTTAAGGCTTTGTCAGGGAGGAGTTCAGTCCCAAACTTTCCCTAATTCTAGCCTGCCTGAAAAGTAGCACTAGGCACTCCCTTAACCTGAACTATAATGTCCCAGTTTATGAGCAGAACTGGGCTCTGGCTTAGGCTGGTGTCCTTGTTACTAGGTTTTGTTCCCAAATAAACCTACATTGATGTTGAGCTGCCACTCTCTACATTTCTTTCCTCACTGCTCTCAAGCCTAACATGGAGGTTTCTCAGTTAAAAATAAAACATGCCACTTTTAGGCATATCTTCAAAGGGAACAAAATCAGTTTATCTGTACTCTCATGTTCATTGCAACATTATTCACAACAGCCATGGTATACAGTCAACCTAAGTGTCTATCAATGAATGGAAAAAGGAAATGTCATTTAAGTGTGTGTAAGTACGCACACATATATACATACAATGGAATATTACCCAGTCTTACAACAGAAGGAAACCTGGTCATTTGCAATTGCATAGATGATCCTGAGAACATTATGCTAAGTGGAATTGGGCTATGCCCAGAAAGACAGTTACATGATCTATGTTATATGTGAAATCTAAAAAGTAGAACTCATAGTAGCAGAGAGTAGAATTAGTGGTTTCTAGAGGCTAGTAGGACGAAGGAGGGGAAGAAATAGATTAAAGTACACACAGTTTTAGTTACATAGGATGAATAAATTCTGGAGATCCACTGAACAATATGGTGACTCTAATTAATATAGTATTGTATGGGTATGTAGTGAGGTAATGGGTATGGTAACTAGCTATACTTTGGTAATCATGTCACAAGGCATGTGTGTATGTTAAAACATCATGTTGCATACCATGAATGCCCACAGTTTTTGTCAGCTTACCTTAATAAGACTGGGGGAATTAAAAGTAAGCAGAAACTCGGCCTCTTAATTCTCTCTCCTTCCCTCTCTCCCAAAACACTAAGGAACTATTTTAGACTGAAAAGTACTAAAAAGATATGAAGCCTAAATACAATGTGTGAGTCTTAGTTGATTCTTTTTCTATAAAGGGCATTATTAATTCAGTTGATGAATGCAGTATGAAATTAGATAGGGGCAATGTGTTGAGATCAATTTCCTGATTCTGATGCTGTACTGTTATTACATAAAGGATGTTTTGGTTTTTCAGGAATATATGCTAAAGTATTAAAGGCCATCAAGTGAACAATTTATTCCCAGATGATTCAAATGTAAATCTCTTGCAAATTTTCTGAAATTGTGATTTAAATTTCCTTTAAAAACATTTCATAAAAAACAATGCTGTAGAATAAAAATTCAACTTATGCTCATTGGCTTTAAACTCTACTATTTAAATGTATTAAAAATTAGTTACCTTCTTTCTTTTACAATTTTTTGCAGGATTATTGGCCCAGGGATGTCAATTTGGTAGATAATGAAATATGGATCTACAATCTGAAGAAAGTAAAAGAAGACAGTTCATTTATTTCAGTTTATTCATATTTGTGGGAGAGTGTCCCTCGAATATTTGAAGCAGGTGTCACCATGGAGTCAAGATTAAAGGAATGCTCACTTCTTTTGCATGATCATGCTTCCAAACTGTTTGAGTGGGACAGAATGATTTCCAAGAAAAGTAAGCCTTATTTGTTTTTATGTGAGTAATGTTCAGCTGTGTGTGTTTGTGTGTATGTGTGTGTGTATACATGTGTGTTTGTCCATCTACTGCCTCTATTTGTGTTCTCATAATGAAACCATAAAGTATAATTTTGTTTTTCTTTTTTGTGGTACTTGGGGTTAAACCCATGGTCTCATGCTTGTTAGGTAAGTGCTCTACCACTTGATCTGTGCCCCCCAGCTGTCAGGTATTAAATATCTTAAAACAAAAAATACAGTTTTGTTTTAAATCTTTATTATTTAAAAATGATCTATTACATATTTTGACCTGGACATAAACTATTACTAAGTCAAGCCTAAAACAGTTTTGAACTTTGTTAACCTGGAGTGGAGGTAGAAAAATATTAGGGATTCAGGGAAACAAGACAGCAATCAAGTCAGCAAAGGTCAGGATAGGACAGAAATTTCTAAAACCTAAAGTAAAGAGATGAGAAGACTCATGGTCTAGGTTAGCTTGCAGGAATATTAGTATTTATTATGGATAAATGAATTGGTGAAAAGCATATCCTATAGTAATGATATTTTTTCCTTCTTTTTAGTATTTGTATAACTATTTTTCTTACCTAATTATATTGAATAATAGTTTCATAATAATTTGAAATACTATTGGCGACTGCTGTCTTATTCTTGATTTAATGGGAAAACTTGAGAATGATGATATTAGTTATAATTGTAGTCTTTTCTATGTATTAAATAACTTTTATTAGTTATGAGACCATGTTTTTGATTTTTGATTTTTCAAATTCTGAGAATATGTTTAAATATGCTATGATTAAATTCATTACTTATTTTAAACTTTCATGTTGAATTTTTTTTTATATTTTAAATTTATACAAGCTATATAGATAGCTTGTGTGTATATGCATGCATAAAGTTTGTATAATGTCTATATACCTACATATACATGCAGCATATATGTATATATGAATATATGTGTATGTATGTATATATATTCAAACTGTTTATATGTATACACATAATACATGTGTGTATATGTATACACATACATGAATAAATTGTTTTTGAAGAAAATAAAATATCTGTAAGTAAATCACAAAATATGAACATATCCCATTGTACCTTCCCCCTGCTTTAAAATATAATTATATATATATATATATATATATATATATATATGTATGTAGTCATTGACTTCAATATATAAATATCAGAGAATAGATTCAAACCTAGATTATGTAACTTAAAAACACATACAATCTTTCCTTGGGCCATGCACCATAGTACTCCACTTTATTGAATCTAAGATACCGATGGAACAACCAAATCTAAAATGGCTGAGCTATTTGAAAAATGTGTCTTAGTAGCAATCATTGAGGTAAAACCTTAAATATAGAAGTCCCATAGACATGTTAAGTGAAACATGATATTTCACAAAAACAAAAGAATCAGAAGACAAATAGTTACAATTAGTCATTAAGAGTGTGCCTAGTATTACACTTATCATAATTTCTAGTTCTCACTGAATCATTTCATACATAATTTCTTTAACGTATTTAAATTTTTATTCATTTTAGGGCATATATTTATGTATGTTGTCAATTAACTTTTTTTAAAGGTTCTTATGAAAAATTGGAAGCATACAAGACATTTCTGAAGAAACACCGTAAAGAAAACAAAATAATGGTATATATTTATGTTTTTATCTTCCCTCAAAAATTGTATTTTCATAGAAAATATAAGCACTAAAATCCTCAAATAAGCACTGATAACATTTTTTAAATGTTCTTTTAGTCTTTGGTTACCTAAAAATTATGTATTCTGTGTTTCAAAAATAGCTAGGTTCATCTTCTTTTCACAGTCTATAGCATTGGCATCTTCACATCACTACATGTTATTTGAAGATTCATCTTAATGTATACATATTCCTTCTTTTGTTATGTAATAATTTATAATATCTTATATTTAGTAGTGTAGGTCTGATAGTAGTACTGTTCCTTTAGGAAAAAAATTAATTCTTTTCATGACCTTTGTTTTATTTTGTCAATTTTTAAAAAAAATCTCCTTATATTTTGATTAAAATTATAATAGACTTTTAAATTAGTTACATATACTTAGTCCCTCTCAAAAGTACATTCTAAAATTAATATTAATGATATAAAGGATCAGACTTGTCACAAGTCTACCCACTTCATTTAATATTATTTTTTAAATTTAAAAATCACTTTTAAATTTATTATTCTTCATTATAAATTACTAAGTAGAAATTTTCAAAAATTAGAAGAAATAGATAAGCACTAAAAAGGATTACCATCATGATTTTATCATTCATAGATAAATCACATTTATCTTATCCTCTTTTCTCTTTTTCCTTCTTGGGTTTTTATTAGCCGTTGTGTTTCTATTATAGTGAATTGCTTATTTATGAACTTTGACCATTTTTGAGCTTGTTTTTATTTCTATGAGCTCTTTATGCTTTAAAAATATTAAATCTTATCAATAATACATGTTATAAATATTTAGCCCACTTTCTACTAACTCAAAATAATTTTTCTATATAGAATTTTATATTGTCATGAGCATGTAACTTTTATAAAATTGTCTGGTTTTGTTAATGTAATTTAGAAGACTTTCTTCATGATGGGATCATATATATAGTCATGCATGTATTAGTCTTACAGTTTTTAAAATTTTAATTCTTTAGTATACATTTAATTCTTTTATGTAATAGGTCTTTTTAATTTGTGCTTATTTTTGTATAAAGACATAAAATGTGAACATCTTATTTTAAATCCATCAATAAATTTGTGCTTTCTCCATGTAAGTTCTATACATTCCCTGTTATATTTTTCTTAAGTATCTTAAAGTTTCATCAATATCAATCAGATTGTTTTCCCATGGTGCTGTTAAAAGTGTTATAGGTTTATAGTCATAATACTAAGGATTCTCATGTAATCTCTGACATTAATGGAAAGGATATAAGTATGTTGCTATTAAGTATAACTAGATGTATTTTCCACATTAAGAATATTTATTTTTGTTAGTAGTTTATTAAAATATAGAGAACTCTATGTGGATATCTATGTAGATGAAGAATAAATATGTGGCAGATTATGATGGCAACTTTTCGGACACTGATCCTCCTCATATGTGCTTCTAATGTAGTACTGGATTTTATTTTCTTTGTTTTATTTAGATTTTGCATCTATGTTTGATAAGATATGATTATTTTTTCTTTATTATCTGTAGTTGGATTCAGTATCAAAATTATACTAACCTCAGAAAATCAGTATTAATTTTTTATCTCTTTCTGGTCTAAAATAATTTGTAAAATATTAGGGTATCAATTGTTGTGGTTGTTTTTGGATGATTGGCAAAAGTTTCCTGCAAAGTTTCATTGATATTGATTTATTATTTATATTTTGCAGGGGAACAACTAGATTGGTAGAAAAGCTATGTGGAAATTAAGTAATTACATAAATATCAACTTTAGTAGAGTTTCAAAACTTAATATTGAGTAAAGAAAGTAAGTTACCAAGTAATATATACAGTTGATATCTTTCCTTTAATTTCAAAGCACACAAAAGTCTATTCTTCATGTGTATGTACATGTGTAAAAGTATTTTTAATGAAATGAATGGATACAAACCAAAAAATATATATGCATAGCTACTGTCTCAAAGAAGGGGAAACTTGGGGACAGAGCTAGAGATCATGATAAAGGGGGATCTAAATGTTACATTTTATTATCCATAAACTTCATACTCTATTTTAAACTATAGTCTTGAAATATATGCTAAAACATCAACAATAACCTTTTTGAAGTTTTGTGTGACAACATTGGAATACTGATATTCATTGATATTTTTTACTCAAAAGAAGTTTTAAAATTATGACTGTTGAATTTTATCAAACAACTTTTCAGAATTTATTGAAATTAGCTTTAGACGAATTGTACTGGCAACAGATTTAATAATGAAATAATTATTAAAAATAAATTCTTATTTGGTTTTCAGGGTTGTAACATGCAAAAGTCCCTTAACTTAGTGTTTTAAAGATTTTATTTTACATGTTTTCCAGCTTTCAGATGAAATGGAGACAGAAAAGAATATAGAGGTATTTAAATTTTCTGTTCTTCCAGGTTGTATATCAAAAGTATTCTGTGGGGCTATAAGAATATTTATAATGATATAGATAGATATAGATATAGATGAATAGATGTGTGTGTGTGGGGGGAGAGAGAGAGAGAGAGAAGTTGGGAACAGGTATAGATGCCTTCTCATTCTGCCTAGTTCATATTACTTTATATGTAATCTAACTAAAATGCTAATCATTTGAGCATATACCATATTTCTGCAAATTGATTTTGTTTTGCTTTTGGATTTGATGCATGAATATGCAAAGATTCTGAATTTCACAGGAGCAAAAATTATGAAGATTTTTCTTTGGAAGAACACATAATTTTTACTTAGTATGGTTAACTGAAATAAAATATTTATATTAACTGAGTGGTGGTTAAATGTTTACCTGTCTTTTGTAAGTCATATGAGACTACTATACTTAGAAAGTGAAATAATTTCTGTTCTATTCTCTTTCTCTTTTTTCTAGGGTTGCAAATTCTCAGGTTTCAAAGCATATGAGCTTACTCAATTGCCCAGACATTTGGATGCTAAACGAATTTACCTTTTTATTTTAAAAACCCATAACTTTGAAGTATGTAAATATTATTTTATTTCTGTTGTATAATAAACTTTGAGAATATGATACAGTAAACCAAACCTTTATTTAAAGATATGAAAAATTATACATTAAGCAAGATACTATTCTTTGGACATTAAATTTGGCAGAAAATATCAGGGATGTTTTACATTCTGCTTACCAGGAGAGAATTATTAGACAATGTGTTAGTGCCTTAGGAGTCTAAGGGTGCACTGGCTGGACATGTGCCCATAACAGGTGCTTTTCCTTCCCTGTTTCTACTAACAGCTCAGGATAGTTTGATTCTAAAATAACTTACGAGAGCTCCACTCCACAAGCCTTTTCCATGTACCTTTTAAGCTTAAAAGTCTCCTGGGGAATTTTTGTACAAAAGTGCAGGTGAAAAAAGATAATTAAATCAATGCCTAGTGATTACCAGGAATAGGATGAGGTTAGGATAATTACTGGTAAAACTGTTTTCTCCTCTGTATTTCAATCTTCTACTTTCATGCTTATGTACATTATATATGTTCTTTGTAACTAATAAGTACTAAATCTAAGTTGAAGTTATCAGTGAAGTCCATATTACCTTTAATAGCCTATTAAAAAGAAGTACTCCACAGAATGCACAATAAAGAGTTTTCTTGCTATAAGAATTTGCATGATGTCATTTTTGTTGACTTGAATATGGGAAACAAATATTGATACGTATGGACTTCATTAACATACATGTTGAATTCTATTTGAATTTAGTATTGAAAACTTTTGTGAATAAGAGCATAAAATGTTCTAGTTAATCTACCTATTTAAACAAAATTTATAGTTTCTAGTCGTCATGGTAAATATGTTTAACCTTAGGTAGTGATGCATTGTCTGCTTAAAGGGAAAACTATGTTTAGACAGACTCATGAACGGGATTATTGAGATATAATTCCATGACTAATTGTTGATAATTTATTTTTAATGAAAAGGGGGAGAAATTATGGTGTGTATCTTACATTTTTTCTGTTCTTGGTTTATCCTATGCCACCCTTTCCATAGTTGCTACCCAAAGTTGAGTGTATGAAATGTAACTGGTTTGACTGAACACCTGAATTTTTCATTTTATTTCTTTTAATAAATCTATATTCAGATATAAAAACTACCATATAACTCTCAATTATGTTTGGGACAAAACTACAAATACATACTATATGAAGTTTAAATACTAATGTAGTATTTGATGAAAATTCAGTGTTCAAATTGAGATATAAGTATAAAACATATTCCATTTCAAAGACCTATTTCCAAAAAATGCAAAATTATTTCATTAGTATTTTCATTCAATTATATGACAAGATTTTAAGTATGTTTGGTTAAATAAAATATGTCATTAAAATTCATTTCATCTTGTACTTTAATTTAGTTACTAAAGCATTTAGTATCATCTAAGTGGTTCAAGTTAAACATCTATTGGATAGTGTTTGTCTAGTGAATACAGACTCTTTCTAGAGCATATCTACATTAATATATTTGTATTCTTTTTTAATGTAATATCCACATATCTCTTTTTTTCCATAGGAAAAAGTGTTTAAAATCTGGAAAAGTCATTTTCTCTCAGATGCCTCCATTGCTCTTTTGCATGACTCATTTTGGTGGTGGTTTCTCTATAAATTTAAGGTAAATTATATTTTCCAAAGTTCTGTTTTATAAATTAATTTGTAGCATAATTAATTTTGCCATAGAATAACACTACTACAAAAATGTTTTTCTGTATCTTCTTACAGAGATTAGTTTGTGAGCAGTCCACACATGTTAAAAATCTTATTTAAAGTCTTCTTTTACGTTAGAGTAAGACTTCAATATGGATTTCAAAGACCTTGAATCTTCATTGACTAGAAAGATTATGAAATCAAACACCATAATGTATAATAAAGTTATAATTTTACTTAATATTATTTATTATGTGCTAGTAAATACCAAACAGGAAGTCCACTGCAAATCAGTGACATTGAAGGAGGTTCAATTTGGAAGAGTCTGCAGATAAGAAAGAGGATGTTTACTTGATTTGGAGAGGTGAGAATTCTAATTGGGATTAAAAAGATAAAGAAGGGTTTATCTGAGAAAAATAAGAGAATAGCACATGAGACAGTGTTTGACTAGAAAAATTTCAGTAAGGATATAATAATACCCTTACTATTTCTAAAAGTTGTCCTTTGGACTTTGGCTCCCCAAAAGATACAAAAAGCTGGAACATGTATCATTACCACTTATGTAACAGCAGCAAGTCATATAACCTTCAAAGTTACAATATTTTTGTGCCAATCATACAAAGCTGATTTCAAAGTAATATTACCAGGGATAAAGAGAAACTGCATATGATAAAGTAGTTGATTCCACAGGAAGAAATAATAATCCTAAATGTTTACGTACCTAATAAAATGCGTCAGCCCACATTTAACTACAACTCTTAACATTTCAAAGAGAAATAGACAAACACCTAAGTATAAAACAAAAGATCAACAACTCACTCCCAGTAACTAGTTGAACATACAGAAAATCAGAGCAACACTGGCTAACAACTTGACCTGACATTTATGAAGCATCCCTTCTATTGCAGTTCATTTTGAGTTGCTATAACAGAATGTTGCAGAATAGGTAATTTGTAATGAACATAAATTTATTGGCTTATAGTTATGAAGGCTAAGAAGTCTAAGATCTAGCAAGGGGCTAGACATCTGGCAAAAGGATTCTTTATGGGTCAGCCCATGTGGAAGGTTGTTAATAAATGTGTGTTTGAAGCATTTTTCTTATAAGAAAAACAAAACACAAACTACAGACCAATAATTCTTACGATGAATATAGATACAAAAATTATCAAAAGTTTTAAACCAAATTTAGCAGCATATCTTAAAGGTAATACACTGGACCTATGGAATTTATCCCTGGAATGCAAGATAATTCAAAATATGTTAAGTAACTTAATCTGATAGATACCTTGGAAACCCAAATGCCTGGTAGCTATAAAATACATTTTCTGATCAAGCATACACAAAACATTCACAAAAAATCATACAATTTTGCTACTTAGTCTCCTGTGGTACTGACATTGGATTGAATCATATTATTAAAGGATATGTCCTGGAACTTTCTTTCTTGTATAAATTGCTCCTTTTCATAGATGTTACGTGTAAATTACATAGTTGAAACATACTGACTTTCATGGGTAAATGTTATATTTACATATAATCTCATTTGATTCTCAAACAACTCTATCTCAGAACAACTGCCTATTGTGTAAGTGACCAAGAATTGCTGTTGGCATTTATCATTATTGTTTATGCTATTATCTCCTTTCATAAAGTTATTTAAAAGGTATTAAGAGTTGTATTGAGAGTAAAGAGACCTACATTCTATTGTGGTTCTCGATTACTTAATGAATTATCTTGAATAATTCTCTTAACTTTTCTGAGCATTGGTGTAGTCACTGAAGTAGAATTTAAACTAGATTATACCTAAGTTCATTTTAGATCTAAGATCCTATGTATCTATAAATCCTATATCATTTTGTTTTCTAATTTCATAGAAAACCACCACTAAATTTGATAATTTTAAGTTTTTAATACCTCATCATTAATGCTAGCTTATGCTTCTATAGCCAATGTCATAAATGAATAGAACCCTTAATTCATCTCTTTTGCATAATGGGTTTGATTCTAATTCATCTCTTCATTGCATAATAGAGCAAGAATTCAGGATGCTACATTGGGACCTTACCATAATATTGATATTATTATTTTATAAATCCTTCTTTCCTTTTATAACATATTAACTTTGTTTCCAATTTAACTATCATATCACAATTTTACTTATTATGGTTGTCTCATTCCTGAAATTGCTTTAATTTCACGCTGAGGTACTGATAATGAAAGAGTTTCAATTGTAGATGGTAACTAAATCATTGTTTTCAGTGTCACAACTGTTGTGCAAGAGCCTGTATTAATTCCTCAAGTGTTTACATGTGTTCTGTGTACTAGGCATTATGCTGAGGCCCTGAAATGCAATGTTACATAAAACATGATCTTTGTCTTCATTTAATTTTACTTCTTCATATATATGACCTAGGTCTGTAAGATGAGAAAACCGGGACTGCCCATGGTAATGCAGCTAATAAATAACAGAGCCAGTGTTCAAATCCAGCTGGGCATGATACCAAAACCCAAGCTCCTTCCATTATATCAATTGATCTACCCTTTAAGAATAAATAAAAATTACTGATAATGTGCAAATAAATTTTCAACTTAAATTCTAATATTGACTTTAATTTTTAAAGTCATTTTTTAATTTTGTTTTGTTTTTAGCCTGACAGAAAATTTCAAGATTGCTTATTTGACAGAATTTCAGAAAGCTATGTAGCACTTTTCCTGAGCATACCTATAAGTCGAAAAGATGCATTCTTTCAGGTAAGCATAAAACTTAAAATTTATGCTAATTACTTTTAGAGTGAATGAAATAGAAAAAAGTTATTTTATTTAAACACATACAAGAACATACTTTGTTACTTTTGTAACCAAATTGTCTGATGTAGAGTAAGTAATGGTAATATTTTAAAGTTTATGCCCTTACCTCCACTACTACCATGCAGAATATTTAATTCCCTTGCCTCAAAGTATTACAGAATCTCTTTAGTGGTATAGGCATTTTGGTTGTAAATTTTTTACTTATTCTATGTATGCTTTTGTTTTTTTCTACTTACCAACAAAAGTGATTTATCTTTTTTCATTTATTATATTATTGTTATTATTATTATTATTGGTGTTTTGAGACAGGCTGTGTACCCAAGCTGGCTTCAAACTTGTTATGTAGCCCAGACTAGGCTTGAGCTCATGATCCTCCTGCCTTAGACTCCTGAGTGCTGGAATTACAGGCATGCATCACCATGCCTATTTGTCTTTTATGTTCTAATGAATCTTTTGATGCATTTGAGAGGAATTGACTAGCTTATGTTACACTTAAGGACTAATCGTCTGTTACAGTAAAACACAAGGCATAAAATTAAGAATCAAACACTTGTTTTGTTTTTCTATTGTTATAATAATGCATAAGATTAAATAAAATAATGTTATTGAGGAATGTGGAATCAAGACTGTATGAATTTCATTTTGATATTAAGTTTAACATCTAGCATTTCAAATACTTTGTAGTTCTGGCAATCTATAAATCAGAAATATGTAAGTATTTTGAAGTTTGTAAATGTTTTCATGAGTAAGGCAGACCTATAATAAAAAATGTCCTTCACAATGAAAATATAAATAAACCTGAATTCACAAATTTGCCAAATTTATATGTTCACTCTTGACCTATCTTACTCACAAATGCTTATGTAAAGTGTGATAGAGGGAAACCACTAGTGGACTGGTAAATAAAGAAACAGCTTTATGTCTGGAATCTCATAGAAATGACCTAGGTGAGCTTGACAAGGCACTCAACCTTTCAAGTTCATAACTGGGTGGTTGGTTAGGTCCACAAGTCTTAAAATTGTTGTCTTGTGGAGTGGTAGTGTTCTGAAAGATAAGGTTGTCTCTATTGTGATTGAAAATAAGAAATTTTCAGGAAAAAGTTAGTCAATGTTTAGGAATTTTGCAATTGAATCATCTAGAAGTAAGAAAAACAGCTGTGTTTCTACCCAGCTAATCTGTAATTTGTACTTACTGAGTGTGCCTAACCTATATACACAGTTTATTTACCACAAATACAATATGTCATCTTTTCTGGTAGTAATTATGTTCATGGTTTATTAAATAAAATTAAATATGTTATAGCATTCTCTCCTTTTCCTCACACATGCTCTCTTCCCCCCCCCCAAAATTATGAAGGTATTAAAAGAGCACCCTTTATTAAAAGAGCAAATGTGAGCACCATTTCATTAGGTAGCCATATTCATTTCCTATTGCAGCTACAGCAATTTATCACAAACATAGTCATTTAAAACAACAGAAATTCAGCTTCTTAGTTGTAGAGGCCAGAAGTCCAACATGAATTTTTGGGGACTAAAATCAAGGTACTATCTTAGCAATACTGTTGTCTTTAGAATGCATCCTTCCTTCTTTAGGGTTTGGAGGCTGCCAATATTCTTTGGCTATGGTTGTATCACTCTAATACCTGCTTCTGTTGTCACATTGTCTTCAGTAGTCAAATTTTGATCAGCTTCCTTATAATGACACTTGTGATTACATTTGGAGCACACAGGATAATTCAAGATAATCTGTCTTACATTATGTTTATTAATTTATCAGAGCTACAAAGTTCTTCTGCCTGGAACATTTACAAGTTCCAGGGAATAATACAGGTAAATCTTTTGGACCATTATTAAGTCTATCATGGTACCCTCTAAGGACCCTCCCAATTCTAAAATCTTTCAGAGTACCAAAATAGAGATATAAATTTGCATTAAATATAAAAAGATTGTATCCTTTATGTTTGGTTATTCCTTGAGAGGAATTTAATAGTTTAGAGATTTGAAAGCTAATGGGATACTGATAGTGACATTTATGTTGGTAGTTGATTATGATTTTAATATTTGAATGATATCAATTACATATATAAATTCATCTAAATAAGCTCCAATTTTTTAAAAGTATAGTTTACGTTATGACCATCATATACACCATTTTGTAAAAGAGTATAGCAATAGCAAGGTTAAATGAAATAAATAGCTAATCATCACACTACCTTAATTGTTATTTTGGAATTAAATAACTTTGCAAAATGTGAACAATCAGGTCGACTTAATTTTCTTCTCTTCTTTGTTCATCTCTCAATTAGAGTAACAAAGAAGTAGTAAAATGGTTATATATAAGCTGTAAGAAAAAAGCAACATGTGTATTTTACACACAGAATTTCTTTGATAATTAAGCTATACTGTATAACATACAAAATTAATTTTTATAGGTGTATCCTGATTGTTTAGCACAAGCTATCTATGCAACATTCCAGGAAGCATTTCCAGAATCTAGTAACCTCTTTAATGATGAATTTAAAGAAGATCTGGGGAATACCATTATTCTTTGGTTGTCAGGTATGAATATATCATTTAAGTTTTGATTATTATGTTGTCTCCTAAAATTTTTGGATTGATTTTTTTATTCCATCAAGAAAGCAGTATTTCTTTGCCTTATAAAAACATGGCATATCAATGCATCTATTTTATTTTATTATATTTTTGTATTTCTTTTATTCATATGTGGATACAACGTTTGGGTCACTACTCCTCCCTTCCCCCCGCCCCCCCTTCCCTCACACCCCCTCCCTCTGCCCCCCACCCCCTCGCTTCCAAGAAGAAACTGTTTGCCCTTATCCCTAATTTTGTTGAAGAGAGAATATAAACATTAACAAGGAGGACCAAGGATTTTTGCTAGTTGAGGAAAGGATAGCTATACAGGGAGATTCCTAGCATTGCTTCCATGTACATATGTGTTACATTCTAAATTAATTCTTGTCAAAATAACCTTTTCTCTAGTTCCTAGTCCTTTTCTTCTATTGACCTCTGTTGCTTTAAAGTTTCTGCATTAGTTCCTTTGCATTGAGGACATCAAATGCTATCTTGTTTTTTTGGGGTTTCTTGACTATCCTCCTTCCTTACTTGTGTGCACTCGCTTTGTCATGTGATCAAAGTCCAATCCCCTTGTTGTATTTGCCCTTGATCTAAAGTACACATATAAGGGAGAACATTGGTCTTCTGGGCCTGGCTAACCTCGCTCAGGATGATGTTCTCCAGTTCCATCCATTTACTTGAAAATGATAAGATTTCATACTTCTTCATGGCTGTGTAAAATTCCATTGTGTATAAATACCACATTTTCTTAATCCATTCGTCAGTAGTGAGGCATCTTGGCTGTTTCCATAACTTGGCTATTGTGAATAGTGCTGCAATAAACATGGGTGTGCAGGTGCCTCTGGAGTAACCTGTGTCGCATTCCTTTGGGTATATCACCAAGAGTGGTATTGCTGGATCATGTGGCAGATCTATGTTTAGATTTTTAAGAAGCCTCCAGATTTTTTTCCAGAGTGATTGTACTAGTTTGCATTCCCACCAGCAGTGAATAAGGGTTCCTTTTTCCCCACATCCTCGCCAACAACTATTGTTGGTGGTGTTTCTAATCATGGCCATTCTAACAGGGGTGAGGTGGAATCTTAGTGTGGTTTTGATTTGCATTTCCTTTATGGCTAGAGATGGTGAGCATTTTTTCATGTGTTTTTTGACCATTTGAATTTCTTCTTTTGAGAAAGTTCTGTTTAGTTCACTTGCCCATTTCTTTATTGGTTCATTGATTTTGGGAGAGTTTAGTTTTTTGAGTTCCCTATATATTCTGGTTATCAGTCCTTCCTCTAATGTGTAGCTGGAAAATATTTTCTCCCACTCTGTGGGTGTTCTTTTCAGTTTAGAGACCATTTCTTCTGTTGCGCAGAAGTTTTTTAGTTTTTTGAGGTCCCATTTGTCTATACTTTCTCTTAGTTGCTGAGCTGCTGGGGTTCCATTAAGGAAGTCCTTGCCTATACCTATAACTTACAAAGTGTTTCCTATTCTTTCCTGTACCAACTTTAGAGTTTGGGGTCTGATATTAAGGTCCTTGATCCATTTTGAGTTAATACTAGCACAGGATGATAAACATAGATCTAGTTTCAGTTTTTTGCAGACTGCTAACCAGTTTTCCCAACAGTTTTGCTTGAACAGGTTGAATTTCTCCATCGTATATTTTTAGTGCCTTTGTCAAAAATAAGTTGGGTATAGTTGTGTGGATTCATATCTGGATCCTCTATTCTGTTCCACTGGTCTTCATGTCTGTTTTTATGCCATTACCATGCTGTTTTTATTGTTATTGCTTTGTAATATAGTTTGAAGTCGGGTATTGTGATACCTCCAGCATTGTGTTTTTTTTGTTTTTGAGTATTGCCTTGGCTATTCTTGGTCTCTTGTGTTTCCAAATGAATTTTAGGGTAGATTTTTCAGTCTCTTTGATGAATGTCATTGGGATTTTGTTGGAAATGCATTAAACATGTAGATTGCTTTTGGGAGTATAGACATTTTTACTATGTTGATTCTACCAATCCATGAGCATGGAAGGTCTCTCCACTTTCTATAGTCTTCCTCAATCTCTTTCTTCAGGGATTTATAGTTTTCCTTGTAGAGGTCGTTCGCATCCTTTAAGTTTACTCCTAGATATTTGATTTTTTTTGAGGCTATTGTAAATGGCATTGTTTTCATATATTCTTTCTCATTTTTTTCATTGTTAGTGTATGAAAAAGCTAATGATTTTTCTACGTTGACTTTATATCCTGCTACCTTGCTATAGCTGTTGATGGTGTCTAGGAGTTTTGGGTAGAGTTTTTTGGGTCATAGCATATCATCTGCAAATAGGAATATTTTGACAGTTTCTTTACCTATTTGTATTCCTTTTTTTCCTTCTTCTTGCCTTATTGCTCTGGCTAGGAATTCCAGTACTATGTTGAATAGGAGTGGGGATAGTGGGCATCTTTGTCTCATTCCTGATTTCAGAGGGAATGGTTTCAGTTTTTCCCCATTAGGTATAATGTTGGCTATAGGTTTGCCATATATAGTTTTTATAATGTTGAGGTACTTTCCTTCTATTCCTAGTTTTCTTAGAGCTTTCATCATGAAATGATGTTGGATCTTATCAAAGGCTTTTTCTGCATCTGTTGAGATGATCAAGTGGTTTTTGTCTTTGCTTATGTTAATGTGCTGTATTACATTTATACATTTGCATATGTTGAACCACCCCTGCATTCCTGGAATGAAGCTGACTTGGTCATGATGAATGATTTTTCTGATCTGTTGTTTTGTATTCAGTTTGCCATTTTTTTACTGAGGATTTTTGCATCGATGTTCATTAAGGACATTGGCCTATAGTTGTCCTTTTTGGAGGTGTCTTTGCCTGGTTTTGGGATGAGTGTAATACTGGCTTCATAAAATGTATTAGGCAGTGTTCCTTCCCTTTCTATTTTGTGGAACAGTTTAAGGAGGGTTGGTGTTAGTTCTTCTTTAAAGGTCTGATAGAATTCCTTAGAGAATTCCTCAGGTCCTGGAATTTTCTTTTTTGGGAGACTCTTTATTGCTGCTTCAATTTCATTTTGTGTTATAGATGTATTCAGGTGATTAATATCCTGTTGGTTCAGTTTTGGATAATAGTAAGTATCTAGAAATCTATCCATTTCTTCAAGATTTTCATATTTATTAGAATGTAGTTTCTCAAAGTAGTCTCTGATGATCTCCTGGACTTCCATGGTGTTTGTTGTTATCTCCCCTTTTGCATTCCTGATTTTACTGGTTTGAGGTTTTTCTCTCCTCATTTTAGTCAGGTTTCCAGGGGTCTGTCGATCTTGTTTATTTTTTCAAAGAACCAACTTTTTGTTTCATTAATTCTTTGTATTTTTTTGTTTGTTTGTTTCTATCTCATTGATTTCGGCTCTTATTTTTATTATTTTTCTCCTTCTATTTGTTTTGGGATTTGCTTGTTCTTGTTTTTCTAGGAGTTTGAGATGTAACATTAGGTCATTGATTTGAGGTCTTTTAGTCTTTTTAATATATGCACTCATGGCTATAAACTTCCTCTCAGGACTGCCTTTGCTGTGTCCCATAGGTTACAGTAGGTTGTGTTTTCATTTTCATTAACTTCCAGGAACCTTTTAATTTCCTCTTTTATTTCATTGATGACCCATTGGTCATTGAGCAATGTGTTGTTCAGTTTCCAGCTGCTTGCATGTTTTCTGTTTTTATTTTTGTTGTTGAGTTCTAGTTTTAATGCATTATGATCAGATAGAATACATGGTATTATTTCTATTTTCTTATATTTGCCGAGGCTTGCTTTGTGCCCTAGGATATGATCAATTTTGGAGAAGGTTCTGTGGGCTGCTAAGAAAAATGTGTATTGTGTAAAAGTTGGATGAAATGTTCTGTAGACATCAAGTAGGTCCATTTGCTCTGTGGTATGTTTTAGATCTAGGATTTCTTCATTGATTTTTTGTTTGGATGACCTATCTAGATGGTGATGGGGTATTACAATGCCTCTATTTTAAAATAATGATAACTATTTTATTCTGAAATTTTGATTATCAAAATTAGTTATTTATTAACTTTGAAGGGCAAATAATTTTGAGAATGCAATCTTATTTTTTTCAATTTTTTTATTATTGTTCTGGGGACACATTGTGACATTTATAAAAGTTCTTACAATATATCATACTTGAATTCATCTCCTCCATCATTTCTCTTTATGTTGCCCCATCTCCCTATTCCTGGAATAGTTTCAATGTCTCTCATTTTTCCATTTACATACATTGTACATAATATTTCTTCCATATTCACCTTCCTACACCCTTTCTTTATATCCTCTCCCTCCCACTGATACCAACTCCCCAGACAGGACCTGTTTTGCATTCCCGTTCTCCATCTTTGAAAAAAAATTGACATTTTTGTTTGTTTAGGATAGCTCTACAGGGAGTTTTCTTGTGACATTTCCATGTATTTATGTATTATAACCCAAATTGGTTCATCCCTTCTATTCCCCTTCTTATAATAAGTTCAACAATTATAAAAAGTCTATATTCATTCTTGTATAGGAAATATATCAACCATATTCACCTTTTAAACTTCTTTCTTTTACCTCCCTCTCTTGTATGTGACATCCCCTTAGCATGACCTGTTTTTCATAATATTGCTTATATTTGTATTGCATCTATATTCCTCATATGAAAGAAAACATATGGTCTTTCACTTTCTGAACCTGGCTTATTCCACTTAAGATGATGGTCTCCAGTTCCATCCACTTACTTGCAAATGACAAAGTTTCATTTTTTTTTATAGCTGAATAAAATTCTGTTGTGTATAAATGCCTCATTTTCTTAATCCATTTACCAGTTGTGGGGCATCTTGGCTGTTTCTATAGTTTAGTTATTGTGAATAGTGCTTCAATAAACATGGGTGTGCAAGTGTCTTTATTGTAACCTGACTTGCATTCCTTCAGCTATGTCCCTAGGAGTGGTATTGCTGGGTCATATGGTTGTT